CCTTCAGCTCTTTCAGGGTGAGCTTCTTAATTTTTATGCCTTAGGTTTAAACAGTCCTCTATTATTTTAATCATTTATCTTCAAAGTTTAGTAAACGATCCTTTTAAATGATTGACTTATCTTCTAGAAATTTGAATTTTAGTTTTTAATGTTTAACTGCCAAGTTTTCTGTGATTTCTTTTAGTGTGAACTCTTTTCTCAATATTATTTTTTCAAATGAAAAAGTTTCTGTAGAGTTTAAAAAGTAATAATGAAGATAAGAAAACACTTTTGATGTCAGAAAATGTAGCTTGAATGAGTGCTAGTTAGAGAAACAGAAAAATATGTGATCATGGGAATTTATTACAGCTGTTGATTTACTAAATGGAGATAAATATAAGTCAAAAAAATCTAGGGGATATTTATTTGTAATGGGATTACAGGAAAAAAAATCTATGTATAAAAAAGTAGTCCTAAAGAGATTTTTTTAAAAAGCCAGATATATATCAATTTAAATATAATTTCCTATTAAATTGGCATGACTCCCCATTAAAGCAGAGTATAACCTCAATGATAGTCATTGCTAGGAAAGTTTACCATGTTCGGAATAGCCTATGGGTAAAAAGAAGCAAAAAATCATAATGGAATGTAGAAAAAGTGACATTTTAGAAAATGACATGTACTTTTAGCACTGTGGAACAAACATACAGCTGACATTTAGTTTTATGGAGGAAGCTCCACGGATATCAAAGCCCACAGATGGTCAAGATTCACATAAAATGGAATTTAATTTGTGTATAACCTATAGAAATCATTCTCAATACTTCTTGTAATCTCTAAACTACCTATATCATATGATTCAATGCCAATCCTACGTAAGTCATCATTATATTGTGTTCTCTCTGAAATAATGACAAGAAAAAAATTGGGATGTTTCGTTGAGATGCATCCATCCTAAGCCTACAAGTCATCAACAATGGAACATGTGAAACACAATTTTGGACTGAAGTTTACTGACTCTGCAGCTTCTGGACCTGTTCCACTCCTTTTCTCCCTTTGTTTATTGTTTGTTAAGAATTCATTGTTCACCAGTGTTGGAAGGTTAGAAATGGTGGTTGAAAGCATGGGAATGGTATACTTAGTCTTTGCCTCCAAAGACCTCATAGCCTAGTGGGTAACAGGCAAATGAATGAAAAATTGTAGTGCAGTCAGCTGAAAGTAAACAATGAGTATGTATGGGGGCAGACTATGGAAAGTTTTGAAGGAGCAGATACCCAGTGGAACTTAGAAAAGCTATGAGATTTCTGTTGTTTCCATTCTTGTCAAATGCTAAATAAGACTAATCCAATCAGACAATTGTATTAAAATCAGCCTCCTTTACTCCGTTTTCATTCTTGAATGAATGAGTTTACTCCATTTCATTCATTCATTACTCCATTTTCAATCAACTTTTACATTTAGGTATTCTTTTCTGAGTAAGGAGACTGACTCACCTAGCAGCAAGCTTTTCTCATTGCAAATACATTCACTCACCTTGTTATTTACAAATTCTTCCTTTGTTCATATTTTTTGATGAGTCATTGAATACCTAAGACCCAACTATTTACAATATATTAAAGTTTCTAAATAGATAATATGTTCCCTTCAACACCTGGAATTTAGTGTACAAAAACCAACATTTGGTGCTCAAATTAATCTCTTTCTACATTGTAAAATTATCACTTTACAGGTGTTATCATGATTACAGCCATCCCTGGGGAGAAATATGCCTTAACGCAGAGAAATTGAACATTTATGGCTCTGGGCTCAGGGACTCTATATGATACCAATAACTGAAACAAAAAGAAATTGCAATCTTTTCCTACTGAAGAGAACTGAGAGGTTTAAAGGAAAGTCTTGAGGGAGGAAATCATCTTGTACACTAAAAGTAATTCTACTTTAAAGTCCACATTGAACAAGCAGCCAAGTACAAAAAAGAGAAAACTGTTGAACAGGGAGATTACATGAATGAATAGTTTATGAGTTTCAGTGATCAAAACAGAAATCTTTGTTTCAACCTATGGACAGAATTGAGAATTCTATCATTTATAAAATCTTTTTCAAGACATTAAAAAATCTTTTTCAAGATGAGTATGGACTCACGTAAAATAGGAAAGCGCATTTTTTAAAGGAAAGGTGTTGCACTCAAACAGCCTCATGTTCAGTGAAGTTTCGATGTCCATTTTATTGGACATATGAGTCTTATGTTCTAAGTTAGGAAGGGCAAAATGTAATTTATTTCTTTTACTTAGAAAGAGACACCAATTAATACCTCATTGTTTTCTTCTCAATGGTTCATTCTGGTAGCATCATTAGTCATCTCTAAATCCAGAATGGTGCTTTAACATGAGCATCCCAGGGCTTCTCAAATGAACAAATGTGTAATTGCATGCAAATAATATGCAAGCTTAACTCTTGAGTTAATTATCACTTTCATATCTAGAAACTTTACCTCCTTATTAATGTTCATAAACAATTTTGTTAGGTTATTTCAAATCCAATGTAATATCCCAGGGACACAATTAGACATCTCTATTTAGATCTCACCATTTGAAATTATGTTGCATTTAAGATAATTATCTTACTTTTTTCCTAAAACATTATATAGGAGGTAATTATAATTACTTTCCAAAGCTCAATTAAAATATACATTGTCTATCTTATCAACTGATTTATTTAAAAAGGAAATCATTTTGAAGTTTTCATCAACTGATTTGAACTATAACAATCAATAATGAGGAGGGACTTGGATTCAGCTACTCTAACAATGCTGACACTAGAAGTTATGGAGGTTTTTGTATCTTAAAACTATAAACTATATTTCAACACAGTTTGAGCATTAGAGAATCTTTTTATGGTTTACCATTTAGTGGATTCTAAGGTAGTTATAAGTTTGTGAATTCTAGGAGAATGGTACCATCTTCAAAGAAAAGTTATTCACTTTGTGTTCAATTCTTTCCTACATTGCCCAGCCTCTGGCAATCACATGTTTTCTATATAAAAATACCTGCTCTAGAGATTTCATGTAAATGAAGCCGAGTTGTGGTAATTTGTGTCTAGCCTTTTGTATTTAACATAATAGTTTTAAGGTTTAAACATGTTAGAACATGTGTCACCTTATCATTTCATTTTATGACTGAAAAATGTCTTATCATATTGTATTATAGGAAATTGAAGCAATACTAAGAAAAAGATATACTTCTAAGATGAATTATATTTGCTGTGTTTTTAACTGTATATTTTCCCCATTGAATTGAAGGAAAAAATAATGGTTGGAGGTTTTTAAGGATAGAAGTTGTGATACAGAGCACATTTTGAGGAATTAATCAAATAGATGGAAATATTTCATACTATGAGAAGTCGAATCACTGGGAAGAGAATAGAAAGATAGGACAGCAAATTGGTTACAGCCTGACTGTCCTCCTTTCTCTGTGCTATAAATTTGTCTTCTCTGAATCTGGAAAGGGAAAGATGACTATGTTAGTTGCAAATATTTTTTTCATGAGAAAGTTGTAGAGGACAGCAGAGGTTGCCAACCCAGTGTTTATTAGTGGACTAATGAATTCATTTGGAGAATTTTTGACTAGGAAATCTTAGTACCAAGTATTTGAAGTAGAGAAGACACATGACTCAATTGACTATATTTTTGCTTTATGTTTAGTTTATCATCGTATACAAGAACTTGGTTACAGAAGTTAAGATTATTGAAAAAAATGCAAAGAATTCCAGAGAGCTTCAGGGAATCCGGGCAATTGGAAACAATGAGCAACACTGTGGAGACTGCGTGAGGAGAAAGGATGAGAGAATTAATGACCTGATGATGCCAATGACCTCGGGCAGCACATGAAGTATTGAAACTAGATTGTGGAGAGGATGGGAGACTGTGGTCATGGGCTGCAGTCTAGGATTAAAGATTGTAGAACCGTTTTGAGTGATGGCAAGGTCAACCGTGTAGCCATAGGGAAGGCTGAGTGAGGTAGAGTGCAAGTAAAGTCAGTCCAGCTGAGAAAATTGTGATGGTGAGCATTAGTTTGAGTCACCCAAGTGAAACTTGAATTTGGCATTGTAGATTAAAGCGCTGAGCCAGCTGTCAAGGACAGCCTCCATAGGTTCAGGTCATGTCCTTTCTTGTTTTCAGAACACTTCACTGGTCATTAGGCAATCCAGCTCTTTGTGAACTCTCTTTGGTTCTGTGAGCTTCAAATTCTCCACTTCTAAATGAATAAGTTGAGACATATGATTTATAATGTCATCATATTTTAAGTGTTTAAATTCTTTACGTTTAAACTTTTTTTCATTCTTAGTAATTTCCTTCCTGGCCTTTAATGTCTCAATACTTCTATAATGACGTTAAATAGAATACTTGGCTTGATTTATGCCTTCTAGGTCTTGGATTTTATCTCTGAGCATCCTAGAATGTTGTAGCAGGCAATACTGGAGATGGAGCTGAGGAAAAACAGAAGAGGAAAGATATTTCATACTTCATTATTTACTTATCAGGCAGTCTCATCACATTAAAGTACGTCTTCAGAATTTTATAGTATATGATGCAGTATAGCTTTAGAAAATAAGTAAAAGGTCCTATCAAAATAGCAAATGATAGACACTTTATTCAAGCCTGTTTACTTAAATGTAGAGGCCATTTTCAAAGTAACATTGCAAAATTAGCTTAATACAGAGACACCCAGATATATTATCTTGTCTCACCTTCTTCCAACTGTTGGTATAATATAATGGTTCATTTCTTTTCTATAATATTTTACACTATTATTACATTGATTTATTTGTATGCTTATGCATGTGTGTGGTCACATGTGTGCCACAGAAAGTATATGGAGGTCAGAGGACAACTTGTAGGAGTCAATTCTCTCCTTCTAAATCAGGATTATCAGATTTGGTCACAAGTCCTTTTGTCTCCTGAGGCATCTTGCCAGACCAAATACTCACCACAGATTTCTTAAACTTGAAGAAAAAAAAATAGAGCTGCCCCTAGAGGCATTGCAGGTGTAACTGCTGTGTCACCCGTACGTTAGTAGATGACCAAGAAGAGTGAGTCTATGTCTGTGATCAGTATTCTGACCTGTGCACATCTGAATGATAGTAGCCTAACATTCCTTGAAAAAAGCAAGCCTGAGAAGACTACCTAGCCAGAACCAGGGGGCTAGACAAAGAACTAACCTGAGAAAACCACCAGTTTGGCAGCACACAGGTCTGGCAGGAGGTGGGAGGGGCAGGCCCAATATGACCCCTGCTGGTGCCATAATGCATGCAAGGGGCATAGCACTCCTGAGACCACTACTGACATGACTGCAGGTATTTAGAGACCCCAGGAGCCATTAAAGGAGCAAATAAGTGGTGGGTAAATGGAAGAGAAAGAGAAACAGAAGAATGTGGGCACAAGGAAGAGAGGCAGAAATGGAGGCTTGGGGGTAGTAAAGAACAATCTGATATGAGTAGCTGGTGATTCCAACCTGGGACCATAGTGGTGTCCTAGCCTGTGTTGCCAGCAGAGGCCATGTCTGGGTCCATGGCCCTGCAGTAGTAGGAGTCCGTTACTAACAAAGTCCAGGAGAGTATCCCTGCTCTGGGCTACTGCCCAGGGACACGTTGACGTCTGATAGCTGTACAGAAGTGGCCCCACTCCTCACCTGGCCATTGCAGGGGAGGCCCTGCATTGCCGCATTGCTGGCCCTGGGGGTATGAGATCCAGAAAGCTGGCTTTGTCCCTATCCAGCTGCAATACTCGGGAGAGGGACAGTGGCCCTGTGACAGCTCCTGTGCTGCCCACAGTACCGAGTTTGGGTGTAGGCCTGGGGGATTAAAGAAAGACACAGACTAGGGTCATCCATTGTGAGAGAATGCCAATGCCTTTATGAGCAGGTTCAATATATACACCAAGCCAGGGAAGGAAAAATACAAACTCAGAAAAAAACAGGAACTCAACTAGGGGGCAATAGGATGTCAAGTATAAATTCCCTCCCTGGGGCACCATGCCTTAATCAGGATGTTTTGATCTTAGAGGAACAGCAGAATGTTACTTAGTAGACAGCAGCATACGGAAAGGCTCAGCTAGGGCATAGCAGCCCTTCCGGGTTCTACGGCTCTGCATGTTGTTGGGGTTTGGGGTGAGCCAGCCCTAAGGATATGAGTGTGGGGGAGGTGTCCCTGCCACCTGCCTTCTATAAGGTGGTGTGGATGCAAGAGAGATATCCTCCTCTCCCCTCATCCCTCACAACTTGTGGCAGATGGAAGACCTATCCCTGTGGTCATGCGAGCAGGAGAGCTGGCCCTGTTACGGAGAGTGAACCCTGCACCACACCTGTCCAGCAAGATAGAGCTGACCAAGGAAGCAGAATCTTCAGGAAGCTGGCTTGAGGGTGTGAGTGTGTGAGAGCTGGTCCTGCTACTTGTTTGCTGTGTAGTATCATGGGCAGGGGGCAGATGGTCCTCTCCTCTAGCCTCTTGCTACCTACCGCAAGCAGGAAAGCTGGCCCCGAGGTCATCAGAGTGGGAGAGCTGGCTCTGCCTCTCACCTACTGTAACACTCAGGAGAGAAGACCCTGCACCTCACCTAGTATTGGGGTTATAGGTGAGCTGGCCCAAGACAGTGAGCCCAGGAGAGCTGGTCCTGCCCCGTGTCTGCAGTGAGGTACAGTAAGAGATGCTCTCCTTACCTCTCTCATTCATCACCACTATAGCAGGCAGGAGAGCTGGTCCCAGGATCATGAAAGTGAGAGAACTGGCCCCACCTCTCACCGTCTGCAAAACTCAGGAGAGTAGGAGAGCGGACCCTGCACCTCATCTGGGCAGCAGGTTTGAGCTGGTTTTTGTTGCAGAGGGTGCTGGTGAGCCTGCTCCAAGTGTGTAAGAACCAGAGAGCAGGTGGTCTGACTAGCTCAAATACTTCTCAGGCCCATATCCAGCCAGGCTTTGAATTGGTTCACCCCAACACCTACCCCATCAATGAACTAATGGAGTACATGAAAGAGCAGGTCCTACAGATGCAAAACTACAGGATCTCAATGACACAGGAAGTGTAGGTTATACTGTGAGACACACTGTAACACACTATGGATTCCACAGCAAGATTTTTTTTTGTTTGTTTATGGGTGAGGAGGTTGCAAGGGTGGGAATAAAGGTTTGGGGAGGTGAGTGGGATTGGGGTGCATGATGTGAAATTTGTTGTGGTAATTATTTAAAATTGGTCATTTGTTAATCTGACTATCTAGATGGCTCTGCCAATCTTCCACGCTGTCTCCGCAAGGCAGACAGCATTGCCCAGACCATTCCACCATCCATGCAGGCCCAGTAAGAGAATGAGACTCTAATTCTTGTAGATTAATCAAAGGCTTTATATGTTTGATAATGGTTAATAACAAGATGCCCATACAAAGAGACTTTTATCCCAATTAGCTAACCTAATTATAAGTTTATAAGTTGTTCCCCACGAATGCTCTCCATACCTGTGCGGTTCTCTATCCTCCTACATCTCTGCTATCTCTAGCTCCTCCTCTTCCTTTTTTCTCTTCCTCTTCTAACTCCTCCTCTTCCTCTCCTTACTCCTCCCACCTTAGCTCCTCCTACAAGTGGAATTGTGGTGCATGATGTGAAATTCACAAAGAACAAATAAAAATTAAAAGATAGAATTCTAATACATTGGCCTTTCAAAGGGATTAATGAAAGATTTCTTTCAAAAATTATAGCCCTAGACAGTTAGCAAGCAGCAAAAATGTCATCTTATGGCAAAAAATATACTGAAACATATGTGCTGTCAAGGGCTATCCAACATATTTGAATATATTACAGATTAGAGTAAATCATTTTTGGATGTTTCCAACTTTGTTGGGAGCTTCCTTTTCCTACTCTTGCTTTGAGTCTTCTCTCTTGGTTATTACTGTTTGGCTCTGGGATGTGTCAGATTGTGGTCAACTTGATTATTCTCTCCCAGGATGCACTGAGCATCAGAATACCAAGAAATCTCTGTGTGCAGCTAGTCCATAAATGCAAATGCTTGAGTCACGCGGCAGTCAGATTACAAAAGGTAGATGGAAAATAATGCCAAAGTAATTCACAAAGAGCATCAAGTAGAAATGAGAAGGAAGCCAGAAGGAGCAATAGAGGAAACAAACAAAAGAATCCCTAGGATAGTTTAGATTTTCTGGTGTGTGTGTGTGTATGTGTGTGTGTTTGTTTGTGGAAATTTCTCTGTGTATATAAGTTTCTGGTTGTGTTGGGGGGGTGGGCTTGTGTGTGTTCTAGCACACATGCACAGGTGAGAGGATGACCTTAGGTGTTGATCATCACCTTTTGCATTATTTTATTCAGGGTCCCTATGAGCTCATGAGACATTTTGTGTGCTCACCCATTTTTATGTAAAGGCCCTGGAATTACAAGCATTTACTCCATGTCAAGTCTAGGTTATATAGGTTCTATAGATCTGAACTAAATTCCCAAGATTGCAGAGCAAGTTCTTAACCACATGAGCCATTCCCCAGACTCCAACCCATGTTACATTTTTATGTTTAATTTTTCAAATATTATTAGCATGATAAACCAGTCTTACATAATATACAAAATTACATTACATGGATATACACAGAAGCAAGAGACTTTATTATGAATTAGGAGACAGGCAAGACTTCAACTGATCTTAGCTCAAATGTGAACACTGAGTATTGTTTATCATTTGTACAGGCATAGATGTTTGAAACAGAATTCTGAAGACAGAAAGAAAAACAAAGATCTGAAGTTAATGTAATGTGATGACTCTGAACCTTTCCGCTTGCTAATAGATATTCACAACCTGAATCACCACATCCCTGTATATCAGATCAGGGTATGGACTGTCCTGATTTTATGGGGATAAAAGCTTCAGTTAATTTCCTATCTGAAAGTCCTGTTGTTCAAGCATAATTATCCAGAAACAAAACAATCCCCTATGATTCATAGAGTGTGTTTTTATGTCTGTAGAAATAAGGAAAACCCTAAAGATATTTTTCCACCCATTTTCTCTAATTTTCAATCTCTGAAATGTACTGTTCTCAATCAATACTCATAGAAAACTGTCCACTGAAAAATTATATGATCATATTCAGTCTACCTCCTCCAACTCTTCCCAGATATTCCCGATTTCCTTCCTACCCAACTTAGTGTCCTTCTTCTGACCTCAGAGCCAATTAATGGTGTCCAGTTATTTTTGGATATATGGTCTTCTACTGGAGCATGGTGTCATACCAACTGTGAGTTCGTATGTGCATGTGTGTGTATGATAGTGTCGATATGCATATATGTATGCATGTGTACTTTTGTGTGAGTGTTATATGTGTTTTTGAATGAGCATGAGTATGTACATGTGAATGTGTGAGAGTGTCTATGTATCATGCATGTTTGCATATTTTTATGTGTGAGTGAGCATGCACATGTGTGTGTATGTGGTTAGTCCTTGAAATTTAACTTGAAGCCTCACACATAAAGTGAGTACAAAAAATGCTCTACCTATGAATTAATATCTAGCTTTTAATCCCCATATTTTTCTGCTAATGAAATACTACTATAATATAACTATGCCTATGGTCTGCAGAACTGCCTGTAGTTATTTTTTATATTTTTATTTTACAGAGATACAGCAGAGATTGAGTGACTCCTAGTACCTCAAAAACTTATGTCTAACTTTCATGAAGAAGCTGGACAACCTGTGATCTAGCCCATTTTCAGGCTATCTTGTGCGAGGTGTCAGTAGACTGCAAGCTGTGACATCTTCATTTATTTATTTCTGCACTTATGTCCTAGAGATTTCTATCATGCACAGTCTTAGAAATAATAACCTTTGCTATTCAAGTCTCTGACCAGGAATAATCATTCTTCAACTTATCTTCCTTCTTTACTTTTACTAAACTTAATTTTTGAACTTACTGACAGCCCAACGGCACTGAATCAGATACAAATCTATCACCTCATCTTAGAGACTGGTATTTTAAGGGTTCATGCAATCTCTGTCGAACTGTATCTGGTATGTATTCTCAGTCCCTGTTCCATTCACCCCAACATGCAGAGATTAGTACCCATCAGTTTACATTACCCACCCTTACTTGACTTCCCATGGGAAGTTTGTATTGATTCTCCGTCATTTCCTAATTTTAAAGCAAAACTCTTTTGAAGTTCAGTGATCTCTTGCAGTTCCTTAAATATATTTTACCAGGGTGATATAGTCTTCTCTTATATAAAGAAATGAGAAAAGTTATCTTGTACTTGGACACTTAATTTTTTTAACCTGCCTTGGGCAAGGCAAAATCCTGATTTCTTTGTCCTCTGAATGTTTTTTCTTTTCTTTTCCTTTTCTCTTGGGACACATTGTCTGTATTCCATATTCAGGGATTCACACCGATTCTTTCTGTAAAATGAACCTTACATAATCTTGTAAATTATATGCCTCAATATTATTTGTCATCCTAGTTGTGTGAAAATTATTTTCTTTCCTTCAACCCTGGCTTCAGAATCTATTATCTATCCCTACAATGAAAAGATTTCCAGTAAAAATTTGTGATATGGTTTTAAGTGATCTGTGATTTCCATCCTACCGTTTTCACTCCAGTTCTTCTAAATTTTATGACTGGTGTGAAGTAGTCCAACTAGAGAGAATGCAAAACATCCCACAGTCAAAACATCAGTCTGCTATCTGGTTCTATGTTACCTATATCCATTTACATGTTTGTGAAATAATAAGGTATCATTTTATCTGGTCATGACAATGCACATCTGTGCACAGAGTCTGAGGAAGAATAGTTGGATGCTTGAGAGCAGTCGGAGTTACATAGGTTGAGAATGTCTCAAAAGAAATGATAGATGAATAAATAAATAAGAACAAATAAAAATGCATAATGTACAATGATCAAGTTGATAAAAATTTATCTTTGGTTGTGCTTCTGCACAGAATCATAATTAATGCTATTTAATGGGTCTTCTGATACTCTTTACATTGAATTTTTGCCTTCTATTATATGTTGTGTATTATAAAATGGATAGAATTATTAGAGTTTTATTGTCTTTCCCAATTTATACTGTAAACACTTTGTTATTGATATATCTACTGCATATTCTTAAAAGTTGAAATATACTCTCACATATTAGGTCCTTGACATGTGTATTAGGCATTCAGCAACAAAATCATTTATTGTTGCACATCTTTTAAACTATGTTGAGAATATTTCATTGAGAATATTTAACTGGTTGCTAAGTGAGAACAACACAGAAAAGGAGAAGAGAGGAGAAGCAGAGAGAGGAAAGAAAGAAAGGAGAACAGGAAGAGGGGAAAGGAGAGAAGAAAAAATGAGGGATTTTGATAAAGAATGAAATTATACTATGTGATGTTAATGTACTGGTTTGAATTAAACTTGGATTGAAAATCTGGCTGTTATAACACTAAGAATGAAAGTAGTCTTGAATACACACACACACACACACACACACACACACACACGAGCCTTATAAATAGGTTACAATAAGAGCCTTTGAGCAATTCAATGAATACTCTTGTGACTCTTTTATGTGCATCTGGGTCAAAAGAAGAGGAGAAGAATACCAGGACAATCTCTGGATATTTTACAGCTCGCAACTACAAAGCCAAGCAGGTCCACAGTGACAGAGCTAAGGTTTTCCTCAGTATTATAATGTTAATATCTTGACAATTTTTACGCCACAAAAATGTCTGTATAAGAACATACCAGTGACACATGATTGATATCCCTCCATGGTTAGTCTCCTTAGGTTGCTAAAATAGTCACTCATTTATGAAATACATATTCTCTTGAGAAATCATTTTAATAACTGCAAAGCCTTTTAAAAGAAACATAGCGATGGGGAAAAGATTACAAATTAAAAGAAAGGTCATATATATTTGAGAATTAAAATTCAATGGAAATATTCGTACCTATTAGTCTCAGGATCTCTGAGAGCAGACCAGGGGGCTATGAGTTGTGTACCCACAATGCAGCTTGTAATACTTTTATTATTCAAGTTTTCAGGGGTTTGGGGGACAAACGAAAGCACTAATCAACCAGAGGGAAGTGAAAACAGACCACTGATAAACCCAGAGTTCTATCTTCATCTTCTCTCTTAAACTCTTTATTACTCTTTCACAGGCCCTGAGACACCTCTCCTGGGAGCTTTTATATATATATATATTGTTAGAAACTCATTTCCTTAGACCAACTTTTAATTTTACATGTACATTTAAAAAGCTTTCCACCTACCCTTGCTTGATAAATATTTCTGTGTGAACGTAAAACTTTTGCTTCAATTAGTATATTACCATAACAATTATTATTTACTGATGTATTAATCTGAATCAACAGAGAATATTAAATTTAAACGTGACTGATGACATCATTCAGTTCATACTTCACTCGTTTTATTTTAAAAATAATAGACACAAGAGGGGAAGGACATCTCACAAGATGGCAGAGGTAGGGTTAGAGCTCAGATCTTTGGATTTAAGTCAGATATACTGTAAAACCTTAGTTCTTCATAGTGGTTTGGCTCACTCATTGCCTAATTACTTTTCGATTTTAATCATATCCCTATATCATATATAAAGTACTTTTTGACCTTATAGTCACACTAAATCAATATGGAATTAAATTAATTTCTTTTTTGATTTTAGAGTCAATTTAGGACATGGAAATCTATTACTTACATTATTTATTTTCTTTTTATTTCAGAAAACACATCTGGAATTATTCAGAATGTTCCTCATTTCACGTGTTACAATCTCTGACTGCCACGTAGCCAACCATCTCCCTAAGAAATGTGCTCAATTTAAATGGTACTGATTTCATGTCAGTGCACAGAAGTCCTTGTCACTTGGTAAAATATCTCGTGCAGTGGGAATCTCTTTTTAAAAAGGTCAGCAATCTTCGGGGTTTAGTGAATCAATACTGTCTATTCAGGGAGGATCTTGCACTGCTTATTCATGGCAGTAGATGGACACATTTATAAAAGCAACATAAGAGGTCTGGAAGAATGGTGACACATTTTAAATTTCTCGTAGAATTGAATGCAAACGTGGACAGATGAAGAGATAAGATGTCAGCCAGCGAATTTGGAGAAGAGAGAGCTTAAGGGTGATGGCAAGATTGAGAGATTTTGGAGGGAAGTGGATTAAATACTGATTCAGCCTGTGTGACATCTTCCCCCACAGCAATTTGAAGTCCTATTTGAAGATTCACAGTTGCCACACTCTGTAAACATTAAGGTGATCAGGACATTGAAAGAAATGAATAATATGCTCCAAAGTCAAGGCATACTTTTGGGATATTATTCCCTTGCAGTTAAAAGTGTTCTCTTGGATTAATCAAATTATCTATTTAGTCCAGAATTTAACCTATGCACACTGCAGTCTTACTAAGAAGAGAATGAGCCTGCATTTGTACCACAGAGACAAAGAGCTGAGATTGCAGACAGAACCAGACTCTACGTTGACTCTGTATTTAAATTTCTCAAAGCCATAGAAACTCTATGGGTCTTGTCTTTGCCTTAGCACGTGAGTCTGCCTTAGCTGACATCACTTTGCCAATCAGACCAAGTCTGAGGAAGTGGCAAGAAGCTGCAGCAAACTTCTGGTAGAAGTTTTTTTTTGGTGCATTTCTCTATGGCATCCCGACAAATGGAGCTTGACTATGGACTGTAAAGCAAACCATGTGTGTCATTAGCAAAGAATCCTTCATTAAGTGTCCTCTCACATGCTTGCTTTAACAGAACATCCTTTCACTTCTTTCTGCTTCAGGGAAACATTTCTTCACAAATGTGGCTTAGCCTTTCACCTGTGTCCACTTCAGGAAACCACTTTTTCATGTGTTTGCCCCAGGAAAACTTCATCCAACACAACTGACTTGCCAAAAAACCCCAAAGTTTCCACTCACCTGTGTCTTAGGTATAGCTTTGCCATACACCTCTGCTCAGAGGTCTACATGCCTATGTGCTCTGCAGCAGTAGACTGCTAAGATACCCCTGTGCTATCTGGACTGAACCCTTCCAGTGCATTGCTAACTTTGTGGAGCTGTTCAAAGGGATTCCCTCACTCATCACACAGGTTATGCTGAGTCATGTTTGCGATGTGGAGATCAGTAATCTCATCATTGACATGAGGGGACAAGGCTTAAAAGACTCAAAATGACTTTCTGACTTTGCATAACCTGACACAATTTTGTGCTCTTTGCAGAAAGCTCTGTTTATCCCCATTGACATGAAGATATCAATCTGAGACCAGATTTCCACAAATTTTAGGAGAAAAAGTGTGATGTAGTGAACCCACTATATTTTGGTGTCTGGATGCAAAAATTGTGGGAAAAAAACAAAACCTTTAGTCCCAGGTCGAAGGTCTATGTCAGTGAGGGGGCTAATGCAGCTTTACAGAGGAGACTTGAATTGCAATGATGAATTAGCATCATTGTCTCAAAGACCCAGAAAAGACCCAGAAGCCTTGGAAATTCACCTAGAATGCTCTCTACCTAGCATATCCATGTCTAAATAAATTGCATTTCAGCATCACAGTGTTGTGAGGAAACCACGGATTGTATCAGGAAAATGTGTTCTTATGGACATCGGGGTTTAAATACTTCAAAATTGCACTTTGAAGGCACATTCAACTGTTTTCTAATATTTTTGACATGTACATTGTTAAATTATCCTTGATTTATGTCTGACTTAGTGGATTAATTTGTGGGTAAACTATAAGTAGAGTTATTACTGTGAAAAAAAAGTTTTAAAATCATCTATTATACAGAATGCCATCAGTTTTCAATTGAGGAATGCCTTTAATTATTAACTAAATAGATGGTTGACAGAGTTTAACTTTAAAATTAAAGACTAGTAGAATACAATAAAACGGTAATAGGTATCAGCTTGTTATTCATTAAAATTTGATTTGGAAGAATCTCTTTTTCTTGTTTTCTGACAGTGCAGAGTTGAACAACACTGTAATTGCAGTGGTTGATAGGTTCCTCATTAAAACTTCAAAATTACTTCTCTTCTTGGGATCAAGCTTCCAAACTTCTTTATAAGATGTTATTGTTACAAGCAACTGCCACCGCTGTTTAACAGTCTCTAGCTCAAACCAATAAGAGAAGAAAAACATTCTTCCAAGAAGTAATAAAACTATATGATATACAATAAAGAAAAAAATCGAAATTCTAAGATGCTGTATTATTGTGCATAGTTATTCAAGTTTAATTGTTATAAAAGCCCATTCCTTATTTCAGCAAGAAGACAAGAAAGAAACAAGGACACACACTTAGAACCTTGGACTTCTAGAACTGAGTTCCAAATTCAAGAGAGACTAAGTACATCAATTCTTAAAAGATGTAAAAGAATTGCACCACGGTAACAAATATTAGGTAACTCAAGTCATTGCAGGACTAGGTGTGTCCTCTCCCACTGAGGCCAATTAGGGGAGCAGGACCTACAGGCAGACAACAGGGTCACGGTAAGCTCCTGCTCCAGTTCTTAGGGCATCTGCGTGAAGACCGAGCTGCACATCTGCTGCACATGTGCATGTATGTGGAAGGCTAGGTCCAGCCCATATATGCTCTTTGGTTGGTGGTTCTGTCTCTGGGAGCCCCCAAGGGTCCAGGTTAGTTGACTGTTCGTCTTGTAACATCTCTATCCACTGCTGGTTTTTCAGTCCTTACTCCAACTCTTTCACAAGATTTCCCTAGCTCCATGTAATGTTAGGCTGTGTATCTGTGCATCTGTTTTGGTCAGCTTCAGAATGGAGTCTCTCAGAAAACAGTTATGCTAGGCTCCTGTCTACAAACATAACAGAGTATCATTAATTGTGTCAAGGATGGGAACACCACTCCCCCTTCTCAGAACTGAAGGGGAGAGGAGCATGGAAATAGAGACCTGTGAGGGTGGGCTGGGAGGAGAGAGGGGGCTGAGATTGGGATGTAAAGTGAATAAATAAATTAATCAGTGGAGAAAAAAGACAAAAAGAAAAAAAGAAAATAGCTATATCTTATGGGCTAGAGCAGAAATGTTATGTTTCATTTCTTTATTAAAATAAAAACATATATGTACTCACAAAAAACGATTGCTAATTCCCAAATCACAAACAGTACTTCCCATTTGTAAAAACAAAACAAAACAAACAAGCAAACAAACAAAACAGAAAGAAAGAAATATTAGATAATAGGATGGTTAATATTTACTTCTATACTTGCAATCTTTATTGCATCTTTTCATTTAGATAAATAGTGTAATGTGTTTTGCCCACCATTGATGCTAATTGATTTTCTTTTTTTCCTTTCTTTTTTAGAAATTTAATTAATTTATTTATTTAATTTATTTGCATTTCAGATGTCATCCCCTTTCCCCCTTTTTCTTCCCTAGAAACTCCCTATCCCATGCCCCCTCCTCCTTTTTGTTTTTATACCATTCTAATTAAATGCATGTATTAAGGTCAGTTCTAGGTTGAGGGACTATCAATATAATAGACGCAAATAATCAAGGAACAAGCAAGGCAATAAACAAAATTCTGTGAACACTCCCACGATCATTCTTTCTAAGAGCTTATCAGGATGACCAAAATATCTGAGCCAATTTCCCTGTCCTAGCCCTGATGATTTTCTAATGTCAACATTTGGGATACTAAAGTTTTAATTATAAAATTTCATTATTGTAATTAAATATGTTCTTCAACTATTTCATCTCTGAATATCGTATATTGTTATTACTTTCATTCTCATCATCTTGCATTTTTCTCCCCCACCTGCCAACTTCCCTGAAAACCCCTGTCTCACGATTATGTAGTTTTAGCTTGTGAGTCACTGAGGTTACATTGTTATGAATTTCACAGGATGCTACAGAGTAAGTACAGAGCAATGCTAGGTACTGATCACCACAGTGACCCCATCTACATAGAGTCTAACAGCAAGACCAAACATTGGCATCCATGAAACATATGTGTATGAACACTGGTTTCTGAGCCCCATGTGGGTTTGTGTAACTACCACTGTGACTGAGACAAAGAATTACTGTGTGATAAGAATGACTTTCTTCTTACTGTGGATATGGCCACATTTCTCTCTGAATCCTTAAGCTGTGGCACTAATACCTCCTGTTTACAACTTCACAGCTTCATTTTGGAAATTCCACATAATAGATTTAGACTGTATATGGACTTTTGGGAGTGTCTTTTTATTTCATTTATCATAATATTCTTTAGGTGAATCCAAAGATTTCAAGATTATTTATTTTGATTGTCGATTACAGAATAACATTCTAGCAATGGCTTTGTGTATTTTTTTTTAACTGATCTAGTTGTTAGTTATGGGCAAGTCCCTTGGTATAGGAAAATTTCCATCTTAGTAGCTAGCAAATTAAATATTTGAACAAGAAGGTATGCTTCAAAATCTATTACTCTTGTTAGAAAAAAGTACTCTTGAAGTATTCGCCATCTAATATTTGATATACCTAATTAACTATAATTCCAGATCTAGAATTTGAGAAGTGTTTGAAGGAGTGTTCTAAATAATAAAAGCCAAGAGCAATTATATTAAGCCATTTGCATTATGTTTCCATTAGAAATCACTCTTCAAAAAAAAAACCAGTAATGTAAAGTAGATTTCTTTAGCCTGTCATGTTGAAATGTTTTGACTCAGTGTGTTTTCAAAACTACCATAAATAGAAACATAAATTGGATAAACTTTGTATTCTCTTCAAAATATTTATAAATAATTTATAGACATTAAGTCAGGTGAGAGTAGATGTTGGCGAGGATGTGGAGAAAGAGGAAAACTCTTCCATTCTTGGTAGGATTGCAAGATGGTGCAACCACTCTGGAAATCAGTCTGGCATTTCCTCAGAAAATTGGACATAGCATTGCCTGAGGATCGAGCTATAGCACTCCTGGGCATATACCCAGAAGATGCTCCAACATATAACAAGGACATATGCTCCACTATGTTCATTACAGCCTTATTTATAATAGCCAGAAGCTGGAAAGAATCCAGATGTCCTTCAACAGGGGAATGGATACAAAAAATGTGGTACATATACACAATGGAGTATTACTTAGTTATTAAAAGCAATGAATTTGAGAAATTCTTAGATAAATGGATGGAACTAGAAAATATCATCCTGAGTGAGGTAACCCAGTCACAAAAGAACACACATGGTATTCATTCACTGATAATTGGATATTAGGCCAGAAGCTTGAAATACCCAAGATTCAACTCACAGAACATATGAAACTCATGAAGAAGGAAGACAAAGTGTGGGTGTTTCAGTCCTTCTTAGAAGGAGTAAAAAATACTCAAGGGAGCAAATATGGAGACAAAGTGTGGGACAGAAACTGAAAGAGGCTGTCTGGAGACCATTCCACCTGGGTATCCATCCCACATACAGTCACCAAAGGTAGACTCTGATGTGGAAGTCAGGAAGTGCATGCTGACAGGAGCCTGTCTCCTTAGAGGTTTGCAAGAGTCTGACATTCAGAGGCAGACTCACAGCTAATCACTGGACTGATCAAGAGGTTCCCAATGGAAGAGTTAGAGAGAAGACTGAAGGAGCTGAAAAGGTTTGCGACCCCATGAGGATAGCAACAATACCAACCAACCAGAGCTCCCAGAGTCTAAACCACCAGCCTGGGAGCACATAGGGAGGGACCCACGGCTCCAGCTGTATATGTAGTGGAGGATGGCCTTGTTGGGAATAGATGGGAGAGGAGATTTTTGGTCCCATGAAGACTGGATGCCGAGTGTGAGGGAATTCGAGGGTGGGGAGGTGGGAGTGGGGAGGT